ACAAGTACAGCCTATGTAACTAAGAGTTCATTGTTCATAATCTGTCCTTGATTCATTGGCTAAGTACTGGCTTGGTTGACATGACTGCATGTAATTTGAAGGCTTTGAAATTTCCTCTCAATAAAAATCGATCAAAACGGAAATCATTAATCAATCATTGTTAGACCACCATTAAAAAAATGAAAGCACTGGACGGCCGTTTCATCCTGGTATGGGACTCATCAACAGTGCTCACCCACGACCCATGCTACTCGCAGGATTCGACCCGGGACCTTCGGTATTGTGCGCGAACGCCTAACCATCGGACCACTGGGCCGGCATCCAACGGTGTTAATGTCTAACTCAGATTGATCTAGGGATTTTGCGTGACCTCACCCATTTGTCTTTGGTAGTTACTGCCTACACCCGACAGGGTTGAACTCCATTAGTCACGTCTTCTCAACTAGAACTCCGAGGGTTTCCTCACGAAGCTACTAGTCACTAGTGAGCACTTGTACGCTATTGTTCACAATACCAAAGGTCCCAGGTTCGAATCCTGCGAGTAGCAGGTGTCGTGGATGCGCACTGCCACTGATAAGTAGTCCAATACCAGGATGAAACGGCCGTCATCCAGTGCTTCCAGGTTCCTAATGGTGGTTGTCTAACAATGATTGATTGATGAGTTCAAGTGTGTATAAAAACACAAAACCTCCAAAACTCTGCCCCACAATCTGGAAATGTTCATTTATCCTCTTCTATTAATTGCAAATAAACTCACTTGAATATCACTGTCTTTTTTTCACAAAATAAAACTCATCTGACTCAAGTTTTTTCAAATAATCATCTATAGCGATTAGTTATTTTTCAATATTCAATTTTAGAATACACACTTCAATATTCAATCCTAGAAGAAGACTCAGTCACAATTAATTAGTTGCTGTTCTTGTTCAATCTGAATGTCACATTATCGTGACTTATATCTTGATTGTATTTGATTGAATATCAAACCAATGTTTGTATCATATAAGTTTTACATTCAAAACAGATTTGTTTTTTAAGAATTATCTTCTACGTAATCAGCGAGTTGTGACGAATGTCATGTGTGCTGATCGAATCCTATCGATCAAGTTACAGTATGGACACTACTCTACGCGACTTGAGATTTACGTATACTATATTGAAATGTAAGACAATATTTTGAAATAATCGATAGTAAGCCTCTGCACCTAGGTTCATTACTATCTACCACTCATTAGTAGGTTGTACTTGAAACCTTGGAGGAACCGATACTCGGTTTGATCTCATGTCATTCACTTAGTGATAGCATATTTAACTGTGAAACTAGATGACACAGGGTCGAACCCGTCAAGGAGCATCACTAGTCTCAGATGCAGTTTACTTACAACTCCACCCGGAGCCCCTCTGGATCTACTGCCGGTCGAAAGCCCGGATAAAGGAGGAGGGTTAGGCATGGGGTTGGCGACAAAGTAACACTTTATTGATAAGTACCAAATAGACAAACATGTTACTTTTGTTACGATCACTTGTTGCAAACAATTAGTCTGTTGTGGAAAATGTTGCGATGTATTTGCGCACTCTACATATTTCGAACAATCTGGTCACAGATGCATTTTATGTGAAAACTAATAACAGGTCAGTTAAAGTTCAAATAGACAGAAGGTGATCACTGTAAAAAGAAAGGAGACAGAAAATTAACGTCATATAGAAGGAATCACAAAAGACAAAAAACTTTCATATATCTACATATATATGAGTGAAATTCAACCTGTTCGAGTGTAGACAGCAACTACTGAAGACTGTGCATGAGGTTGCGCAACTCCATGAATTGATCGAGGTTAGATATTAACACCGTTAGATACCAACTCAGTGGTCCAGAGGTTAGGCGTTCGCGCGCAAGACTGAATGTCCTGGATCGGAGATAGAGTAGTCGTGGATGCTCACTGCTAATGAGTCCCACAGCAGGACGAAACGACCGTCTAGTGATTCCAGGTTTCTAATGGTGGTCTAAGGTTGATCGATTCATGATGTCAAATCTATATATATACTGTCTATCTACCTATTATCAACAATTCTAATGAAAATCTTTAGTTCGATACTGTGGTTTTACCTAATTGTCAATTTCCTCTAGACGAATAAAGACGTCCCGTTCGATAACCAAAGGACGGGTGTACTGAGCAGCAGTTCACTCTGTTCTCCTATATGGCCGTTAAGAGGAGAAGATGTTCGTAGGTTACTCGTATTCGATCATAGATATCTCTGAAGCGTTGATCGTATATTGTGGGACAACCGAGTAAGCAATGTTGTCGTTTGGAAACGAGTTCTAGGTAAGGGTGGCAGATCAATGGATGAAGTAATGAAATTTCATCAGTTCAGGTGGTTGAAACATGTGTTACGAATGCCTAACCACCGACTGCCTCGACGAGCTTTGTTTTGTGGTGTAGGAGTAGGTTGGAAGAAAGTTAGGGGCGACTAGACTAAAAATGGCAGCAATCCATGAACTCATTAACTAGTGGACTGAGCCATGTCGGTAATTGTCGACTACCTGGTTGGGGTCTGCGAGACGAAAGTCACCAATGGTTAGAGACCTTGAATGACATGGCTCAGAATCGTTTGCAATGGTGCAAGTGCATCCATTCGTTGAGCTCTCTCAAATCCCTAACTTCTGGATTCTTCAACGCCTCTACCTTTGTCTTTCTAACCTTATCTCACTGAATTATACTTCTTGCATAATTTCTGAGAACCCTAATCTTTTCCATTACCAGTAATACGTTACTATCTCTACCAGTCGAGGGTTTCAACTGACAATCACATCTCTATGTTGATGGGGTATGGCAACCTGAATTTATGTACATACGTACGAAGTTCTACGTTGTAACTGACTGACTGACTGAATAAAGATGCATTTCGCAAACATTCAAGAACTGAAGCTTTCTACAAAGCAGTCAACACTCTATGAAATGCCTTTTAACATAACAGCAACAACACACTCTCTTTTACGTTCACATAAAATTGTGTCTACAAAATAGGTTTTGTAGAACAGATGGGATGTGTTTGTTTTTTATATACTGGAGAGTTTTACCACGTGACTTACGTCGACTGACGCCAAAGAACACTTAAACTATACGTAAATGAAAAATTTACACACTTAATCGGTAATAGAAGTACATGTTATTTACAACAAAAAGAACCAAATCAATATCAAAATATTTTGAAAAATGTTTTTCAACTGTAAAAAGAGACGAGTAGCGGAGACATTTGATTTTGGTAAATCAACAAAGCTTCATTCGTTCTAATAATATCTGCGTTCTTCACTTTGTACTTACTTAATTACTTACGCCTGTTACCCCCAATGGAGCATAGGCCGCCCACCAGTTTCCTCCAACCAACTCTTTCCTGAGCTTCCTTCTCCACTTCTTTCTAATGTTTGTTCATTCCTCTCATATCTCTCTCTATTTCTCGGCTTAGCGTGTTCTTTGGCCTTCCTCTTTTCTTTTCGCCTTGAGGGTTTCATGTGAGGGCTTGTTTCGTGATGCAGTTAGGTGTTTTTCGTAGTGTGTGTCCTATCCACTTCCACCGCTTCTTCCTGATTTCCTCTTCCACTGGAATCTGGTTTGTTTTCTTCCACAGTACGTTGTTGCTGATGGTGTCTGGCCAACGAATACGAAGTATTTTGCGTAGACAACTGTTAATAAACACTTGTATCTTCTGGATGATGGCTTTGGTAGTTCTCCAAGTTTCCGCTGCATACAGTAGAACTGTCTTGACATTTGTATTGAAAATCCTGATTCTGGTGTTGGTTGAAAGTTGTTTGTAGTTCCAGATATTTTTCAACTGTAGAAATGCAGCCCTCGCTTTGCCAATCCGCGCCTTCACATCTGAATCGGATCCACCTTTCTCGTCGATGATGCTGCCCAGATATGTAAAGGTGTTAATATCCTCCAAGGCATCTCCATCAACAGTGATTTAGTTGGTGCATGTTGTGTCGCATCGTAGAATCTTGCTTTTTTCTTTGTATATGATGAGACCTACTGCTGCAGAGGC